AGCCTGGCCGCACGAAACGGCATCCAGTCGTTTTTCCCGTAGAAGAACGCCACTGGGATCGAGCCCGTTGTTGCGCTGGTGCGCCCGGCGTCGGCACCCCCCTGGCCGCCATTGTCCTCGGATGCCCCTCTCCCTCGTCATCCTCGACGTCGCCCTCGTCGCCCATTCAGCAAGACGAGGTGGAGGAGGAGGGCGGCGGCCACGGCGACAGGGAAGGACGACGATGAAAATCGTCATTGAAGATCCCTCGCCCTCGTCGTCGTCGCCGTCCTTTTCTTCCTCCTCCTCCTCCTCCTCCTCCTCCTCCCTCCTCCTCCTCCTCCTCCTCCTCCTACTCCTCCTTTTCCTCCTCCTCCTCTTTTCCCTCCTTTTCTTCCTCGTCCTCAATCATCATCCTGATTCCTGACTCCTGTCGGCTATTTAGTCGTTGAGACGAAGCCTCCCCCCCAAGGGCCGGTCGGCCCAGGGGGGTGATCAAATGGCTGCCACTTCCTAACAAGTTCCCTCACTGCGCTAAATGGGACCAAGCGGCGAAAGATAAATTGCACGAGCTTGTTTGCTCGAGCCCGCACGGGCCGATGCGCGGCCCTCCGTCGGTACACGAGGGCACCTCTCAGCACGACTCCAAGGGGTCCCGCGCGGCGCAACATGTAGCGGGGTCCCTGGACGCCCCAATAGCAAGTCCAATGGCGCAGGCAAGAGAACCAGCGAAACACGCACATCATAATCTACAGCGCGGGCCACTCGCACGACGCCCCAAAAAAAACACGACAACGCGCCACGTGACGGAACGCAGGTGCTCGGCCATGGCTCAAGGGGCACCCGCCCCGACCAGCTTGGCGTCAACGCCAACGTCGCCCTGATCGCAACGGAGCAAGGCGCGCGTCTGGGCATCTCCCGCGCGCGTCGAGGCGCGAAAGGGTGAACCGGGGGGGATTTGGGGAAAGATCTGGCGGAAAATCGAAGGGATGATCTCGGGGAAAATCTGGGTGAAGATCTGGGGGACAATCTGGGGGGAAATCTGGAGGAAGGTTTGGGGGGGGATCTGGGGGAAAATCTGGGGTATGAACGGGAGGACGAAACTGGAGGAGGGGGCATGCCGACAACCGTAAGCTGGAAGTTCTAAGGGAAGACGTGGGCGAGGGAACACCGAAAACTGAATGCCATATTCACAACGAAAACGAAAGACGCGCGCCGCGCGAAGTGCGACGATGTTGCGGGAACAGAACGGGCGCCCAAACAAAACACGGGCAGCTCGATTCACGCTCGATAGCAGAACTCAAGACAAACGCGCGGCGCATGCCCGCGCCAGACCAGAACGCCTGACACAACAGCGGCCCAATTGACAAAACGGACGGGCACGCGACGGGCTTTTAGACCACGGGAACAACGTGTCCCCGAACGCGTTTGGAACGAAAAATTACTCCGACGGAAGGACCCCACATGAGAATATGTTTAGCTAGCCCTTACCCTTTGACTCCTCGCCCTGACGCACACTCTCCTCTCGCCCGCCGTTCTGCCCTCACCTACTCCCCCTCCTTTTATTTATCCTCCTCCTCCTTCTACACTTCCTCCTCATCATCACCCCCTCCCTACCCCTTCCCCGTCCTCGTCCTTCCCCTGCTTCTTCTCCGCGCGCTCCTCCCCTTCCCCCTGGTCGGGGCAAGCAAATCGATTTTCCTCGGCGCCGTCGCCGCCGCGGCCAGAGCGCGCGCATTCCCCGACGGCTGGTTCGCGAAGCCTTTGGGGCAACCCCGCGGGCCGCTGGGGCGCGGGGGCAGGCGGTCGGGACAGCCCCGCAGGCCAAGAGCCGCTGGAGGCTTAAGTTTTGGCCCAAAAATGACGACAAATACGCGTTTCGGATGACCCGCTCGGATTACCAACATGAAATGCGGGACCCATGTGAAGGGAGCTCCCGCCTGAGACTCCCTCACAATTCACTCACAGGCGAGGTTCCCGCTTGCTACTTCCCCAAAATTCAAACCTGAGGAGCCCAAAAGTGACGACAATTACACGTTTCGGATGACCGGCTCGGATTACCAACATGAAGTGCGGGACACATAGGGAGGGGGCTCCCGCCTGAGCCTTCCTCACAATTCACTCGCAGACAATGCTCCCGCTTGATACTTACCCAAAATTCAAGCCTGAGGAGCCCAAGGAGACGACAGATACACGTACCCGCTCGGATTACCAACATGAAATGCGGGACCCATGTGAAGGGAGCTCCCGCCTGAGACTTCTTCACAATTCACTCACAGGCGAGGCTCCCGCTTGTTACTTTCCCAAAATTCAAGCCTGAGGAGCCCAAAAGTGTCAACAGCTACACATTTCAGATGACCCGCTCGGATTACCAACATGAAGTGCGGGACACATAGGGAGGGGGCTCCCGCCTGAGACTCCCTCACAATTCATTCACAAACGAGGCTCCCGCTTGATACTTCCCAAAAATTCAAGCCTGAGGAGCCCAAAAGTGACGACAGATACACGTTTCGGATGACCCGATCGGATTACCAACATGAAGTGCGTGACCCATAAGGAGAGGGCTCCCACCTGAGACTCCTTCGCAATTCACTCACAGACATGGCTCCCGCTCAAGACTTCTCCCATACTCAAGCCTGAAGAGCCCAAAAGTGACGACAGATACAGGAATCCGATGACCCGCTCGGATTACCAACAAGATCCGCGGGCCCCAAGGGGGGGGGAGCTCCCGCCTGAGATTCCCTCACAATTCACTCACAGGCGAGGCTCCCGCTTGATACTTCCCCAAAATTCAAACCTGAAAAACCCAAAAGTGACGGCAGTTACACGTTTCGGATGACCCGCTCGGATTACCAACATGAAGTGCGGGACACATAGGGAGGGGGCTCCCGCCTGAGACTCCCTCGCAATGCACTCACAGACGAAGCTCCCGTTTGAGACTTCATCCATATTCAAGCTAGGGGGGGAGTGATGACGAAGTGATGAGTGAGCGAGTGGTGATGGTGAGTGAGTGAGTGAGTGTGTGTGTGAGTCAGTGAGTGAGTGAGTGAGTGAGGTTGGCAAGTGAGTGAGTGAGTAAGCGAGTGATGATGATGATGAGGATGAGGATGAGTGAGTGGGTGAGTCAGAAAAGTGATCGAGTGATGATGATGGTGACGATGATGAGGTTGATGATGATGAGTGGTGATGTTGATTCATGATGATGATGGTGATGATGATGATGAATGTGTGAGTGTGTGAGTGTGTGAGTGAGGAAAGGGGGGGAGATCCTGCGCGGCGTGTGCAGAGAAAACAAGAAAACAAGAGGAAACGAAAACATTCAGGAAAACACGCACACACACACACACACACTTCTTAGTTTCAGCCCTGGAACTGGCATGGAGCGACGATGGCATATAGGATTTTCGCTTCTCCCACCCTAGCGGCTACTGGACGCACGCATCCAGAGGGAAGGCCAACAACCAGGCCCTGGGCCACGTTCGCGGGGGCGCATGCAAGAAGCGGCGCGGTCGGTGGCCCTTCCCCGCGCGAGTGCGGCAATTCATTTGCCAAATATACCGTGGAAGGTGCCAATCAGCTAGCCGGGGAGTGTCGCCGCTTGGGACAATATTTCTACGCCATCTGGATGAACGCTGGATCCTGCAAGTTCTTCCAATACGCGCCAGCTCACATCGCAGCCTACAAAGAGGGCACAGAGCTTGTGGACTACGTGATCGGCCTAGATATTGCCTCAGACACGCTCGCGAGAGGCATGTCGATCAGGGATTTCCAGCCCACCAACCCATTAGCTGGAAAAAGCACCTATCATTAGTGAGTCTCATCCCGCAGCGATCGCGCATGATGGGCGCAGGCGTCGTACATAAATTGTATTACGCTACTCGCACTTTGCTGCCACGCGAATCGCGCAGGTCTCGCGCACGAACCGCGCGCGACTCGCGCACGAATCGCAAACGCATCGCGCACTAATCGCGCACTAATCGCGCACTAAACGCGCACTGATCGCTCACCAATCGCGCACTATCCGCGCACAAATTGCACACGAGTCCACTAACCGCGCACGAATCGCGCGCCAATCGCGCACTAAACGCAGGCTGGGCGGGAGCGGGGGCCCGCGCTGAGAGCGCACTGAGTGATGCACGAAAGTTTGATGATTCGAAGCTTACTTTATACGCTAATTCCACGAGGCGTTCCAGGAAACCCCTCTTGTTGCGAAATTAGTGCCAGGCGGGGCGCTCCGTCGAAATTGATGCCAGGCCTCCTTTGACCTGAAGCGTCAACTCAGTGCGTCACTCAGCGGGGCGCCTTGGAGCAGCGCCGGCGGTCAGAACGGTCGCCCCCGAAAGACCCCCCGCGGGCTGACCGGTCCAGGCCCTCCCACATCACCCCCCCCCCTTCAGTCGGGAGCGGCAAAGAGGGGGGTGTCCAAGAGGGGGGGTGCAAATCATGACCGGCGGCACGTGCGCGGCCCAGCGGGGGGACCAGGGACGTAATGAAACAAGAAGAGGCGCCATGAAATCTGAGGAAATATCATGGCCCCCGCCATGATAGCCACCCCCCCCTAAGTCGTCACCCCCCTCTTTGCCGCCCCCGATTCAGCGAGGGGCGGACCAGCCCGGGACCAGGGCTCGCAGGGGAGGGGCCCCCTCGTCTCAGGGCCGCGCGGGGCCTCGCGGAGTCCAGCAGGGAGAGGTCCACGGAAGCATCGGGGCGCCTCTGGGAAGCCTTCGGGGGGGTCTCTGGGGCGCCTCCAGGGAGCTTCGAGGAGCTCCAGCAGAGGCCGCTGGGGAGCAAGCATCTACTCGACCCAGCTCTGCTCTATTCTTTTTACTGCACCCTGCGCTGATCCATGTCACCAGGCGTCACTCTTCCATCTACACTGGCCTACTCCACTCGGCTGTGGCTATTATGTTTTTCGCTGCAGCCGGTTTTCCTCTACTCGGCTTGACCCTGCTCTACGCTACTCAACTCTACACTTTCCCTGCTCCGCTGTATTCAACTCAAATCGACCCTGCATTATTCTACTCCTACTCTACTCTACTTATGATCAGCTTTGCTGTGCTCTCTGCTCCTCTCTCCTCCGCTATGCCCTGTTCTACTTTACTCCTGAGTTGGACCTCTGCCCTGCGATAGTCGGGGC